TGTGTGTGTGTGTGAGAGAGAGAGAGAGAGAGAGAGAGAGAGAAGAGGGGGTATGTGTTTATAGATGCAGGTGTCTTCAGATGCTAGAAGACATCTAGCATATATAGTTAGAGGTATCATATTCCCCTGGAGCTGGAGTTCTAGACACTTGCAAACTTTCTGACATAACTGAGGAATTGAGCTTGGGTCCTCTACAAGAGCAGTATATATTCTTTAGACAAGAGGCCATCTCTCCAGCCCCAGTGTCTTCCCATTTCATGAAGACTCTAGTCATGGGAGTAGAAACCACCTGATCTTATATGACATCACTTATGTTAGATGCATTTGCAAAGACCGTTTTCTTTAATAAAGTCACATTGAAGGGCCTGGAATGAAAACTTCCAGATAACAAATCTATAACAGTCATGAACGAAAGGACTCCATCTCTCAATAAACTGTCTCTGTCACAATTTTAAATCACTATGATGCCTGGTACATGGCAAATATTTTTTACAATTTTGATCTTTTTTATTTTTGGAACAATGGTGTTCTGCCTAATAAAGTTCTTTTAATGAGTAAAATCTTGCAGGATTCAAAATCTACCTAGAGTGGATATATGTAATGTATCTTTATCTTCCTTGACTATTAATAAATGTGTATTAGAGATTTATTGGGTTGATATATGGATCAATAGTAATTTTAAACTATATTAGCATAATTTATTCTTTCTTGATTATTTCAAACAATTCTTTGAAGAAAAAGTGTAGTTACATATTAGTTAAAGGGTCACCCTCTGCTTGAATGACTGGATTCTTATTCCACATTCTTTGTGCCCATTTGGATACTTATTGGTGAAAGTAGGTTTTATGTCTTGGATTACAGTGTTTTTACCCCCTACCTCAATCCATCGATTTTCCATTGCATATATTATATATGTCGTTTACTTTAATTAAATTATCTTGTCATTCAGTTAGTACTAATGAAGTTTGATTTGGTTTCTTTATCTATTAAAAATGCCTGCTTTATCTCATGCCATTATTTTCCATTCTTCAATCTAAGTATGTGTGTGTGTGTGTGTGTGAGCGTGTGTGTGTGTGTGTGTGTGTGTGTGTGTAGACTTTTTAATAAATGTATTTTGATTGTGGTTATCTTGCATTACATTTGTTTGCTAATAGGCCATTCCATTTTCCCTTTAACGTGATATGAAATAAGTGTGGAAAGAAGAAATAAATCGCAGTGTAACCCATACTTTGCAAATGAAAGCTATTTCTCTGGTCTTAAAACTGTGCATTATCTCTGCTTGACTTCGGAATACTCTGGAAGTGCTGTGCATGCAATTAAGAGAGAGTTCCGCTGGGAAAATCACTGAAGGCAAAAACCAAAGACAGCAATGGCCCAGCTCGCACTGAAGGGCTCTTAGCCACTTTTTGTCAAGCTGCTGTTATGTTTCATTTTACGGATCTTTTCTTGACAGATAGTCAAGCATTTGCTACCAAACCCACCGTTACATCAAAAAAAAATGAGTCCTAAAAACAGTATTTGTATAGCAAAATATTTGAACTAACTAACGCTATTCTTTCCCTATAAAGAGAGGAAAAATACTCTTGCTGGAAGCATTCCTCATCTCGCAGTCATTTTCCCAGCCACTGGGGAGGGGAGGAGGATTCCCAATCACATTTTTTTTTCTTCATGAGGCGATGACATTTACAGGAAACCAACAGATAGGCCCAGCTGTTAGTAAACCAGGAGGAAGAATAACGCTGAGACGTCTGAGCCCAGCGAGGAGAGACGCCATTTTGTCCACTCTCTTCTGGGCTATTCATGTTTAATTGCAGCAGTGGCACTTGACATTATAAAATATTCCGTTATTTTGAATATAACCTTTTGTCATCATTAGCAAATGTCAAATGCAATGAACGAAGCGTTTTCCTGCCTTCCTCTTCCCAGTGGAGTGGTAAGAAAATGGCATTAAGTTTGTAATCCTGAAATTGTTTTCAAAGCCAAAGCCAGCAGGGAGGCAGCTTGGTGCGAGAGTGTTAGATTAGGTTTAATGTCCAAATTGTCCTCAAACTGGGGATGGTGGGAATTTTCCTATTTGTGGTTCTTCCTACACTTACCTTCTTTGGTACAATTTCTTGTTCTGCCTGCGTGTTTCAGTGACAAATACTTCCAATTGGATTGTGCTTCTAAGCTCAGTCAGAATGATGCTGGAAATCTGGCCCCTTGCTGTGTGTCTTAACTTCTATCTGAAAGCTTCTTCTTTCTGCTTCTTTTTTTTTTTTCTTTAAAGTTATTTCTCTGCTTCTCCCCCAAGTTTTGATATGTAGTGATTACTCAACCCTGTGGTTTCTAGCATCTTCCTGTAACATTTCAATTACAGTATAATGGATTTTTGCTCTCTCGGCGATTAAAAAAACAATGCCACGAGATGAAGCTGAAGCATTTTATGACAATAGAGTGTCTTTACCATCACAATGGAACTAGCATCCTGTGAGAAGGGGGCACTATCACCAGAAAAGGTCAGAGAAATAAAGTCCCAGTTTTCCAAGACATTTATCAGCAGGCTGTGTTGAAAACAAACTTGACAGGGGTCTGGGTCACCTTTCTTGGTGACTCCTGTGTGCTTTCAGTTTTCCTCAATGACAAAATGAGAGAAGACCTGTGTGCTGTGCAGGGAAGAGAGCTGGCATGGTGTCGCCTGCTTGCCCCTGTGATATTCAGTCTATGCCAAGAAGGAAAAGAAAGCTGATTGAAGGTACTTGACAGTGAGTGGGGGTGGGGAGTAAGCTGCATTCATACATACTATGTCCCAAACAATACGATACCAGGGGAAGGTTTTAAATGATTTTGTCTGACTAGTAACAAGGGACTCTGCTCACCAGAAAGACAAAACATCCTACATGTCTTTGACTACCCCTTGTTCTTTAAACATGCCCATCTGGAATCTGGCTCTGTCATTCTGTGTGTGTTCTCATCTTGGTTTCATGGTTACGTATATTGTGAACTAAATTAAGCTCATGAGTTTCTGAGAATACAGAAAAGGACTCAACACTAGCTGCTTTCTACCCAGTCAGTTTCTATATTTGTTCCAATTATTTGCAGCTAATATTCCAGGCACCTATGTTTTCATAATACTTATAAAACATTAAGCAAAGCACAATAAAATACTCAAATAATTGCCAATAAACTCTTATTATTTGAGACTATAACTTGGACATTTTTATTTCTGTTGTTATGGTTAGAATATGACTTCTTACTAATTAGCCATTTGCAATTGGAATATATAGTCTTCCTAATGATTTTAATAGTGCTTTCCCTATTAAAGATATGAATCATTGTTTTCTCTGGCATAATGCAAACATACTTTCTATTATGATTTCCTTTTCTTTTGTTTTCTGCCACTGGAAGGGCCTTCTAAAAGCTTCCTTAATTGTTGTGCATTTGAATGCTCTAATCTGTTTCATCTAAACTTGAACCCTTATTTTCTCTAATAAGATCTTAATCAGACCAGTCTTAGCCTTCTTCAGAGAAGCATGTCTTCTTGTTGGCTTTGGGAAGTCACACTCTTGTCTAAGTTGCTTCTAGTGCCACTTAGACACATTCACTGAACCCAGCCTCCTCTGGACACTCTTCTCTGACCCTGTAATGGCAGAAGAACATGCCACACAAAGTACTGAAGAACTGTGAACAATCTTATGTTCCTCTCTGCGGTGTATCTGGATGTTAGGATCCAACTGGCAAGATGCCTATGGGGGGAATTCAAAATCCAACATGGAGTCTATGACATCTCAGTGCCATTTTGATGGTATGGGAACCTTCTGTCCCATCACCCAACAAGTTAGCTCTCCCTCAAGGCCTACTTGGTCTTAGAGGGATATGGGGTGCACTTTGTTTATAAAAAAAGACATCTTAGGGATAAATGAGAAAGAGGGTTCATGCTAAGTTAGAAAGAAAGTAGCTTATGTTCAAAATGCCAGGTTCCTAGAGAGTTTATGAAAGGAGAAACAGCTAAGCATTATCTCCAGAGTGGGGGAAATGAGAAAGCCAATTAGAAATGATGCTTTCAATCCTGAGAGAACAGAGAAGGAGCAATAGGGTGAGCTGAGGAACCAGTTCTTCCTGCACAGTGTCTGGAATAGGTAGCGCCTTTACATGAATTTCATATCTCAGAGTCCCGATTTTACTGCCACATGCAATGCCAATGCCTTGGGCATATAGTACTCCCTTCTACAACCTTAAGTTGGCATTAATGTCTCAGGAATAAAACTTTGCCCGTGTCTTTTATTAGCCCCTGTTTGTATCCTATGCTGTATGAACAGATCTGAAACCCCAGTGTACTTGCGTAGCTTTAGAAGGTTTAATACACAAAGTATTAGATGCTTGTCCATGACCCCCCAACCTTAGGACAGAGGAGCAGGAATTCAAGTTCACATTTGCTCATCCAGCTCAGACATTAAAGAAGGTGTTTTATTGTCATCCTATAGCTGATTAAGCTGACACTGAACTGTAACCTCCTACAAAGTAGGAACATGTTCCTTTTGTTCTTATATTCAGCTTATATTCATGGACAGCCAATTTATACAGGTATCGTGTTGAAGCTGAGGTATTCCTCTAACTTTAGAGTATGTTCAGAGTTACCAATTTCAGATTGGTATAATCTTTTCTTTTGTATAGTTTTATGCTGGTTGGTATGGAGTAAACTTTGATCTTCATTCATACAAAAAAGAAGAAAAAAGGAAGGAAGGAAGGGAGGGAGAAAAGGAAGGAGGGAGGGAAGGAGGGAGGGAGGAAGGGAGGGAGGGAGGGAAGGAGGGAGGAAGAAAAGAAAGAGGGAGAAATTGCTCAGAGTACTGCAAAGCTGACTTGTGAGCATCAATAGGAAAAGCAAAACTAAGAAAAAACATCTGTGCATTATCCACACACCATTTTAGATGATGTTGTGACTGCTCTACAAATTATTAATCACTTCCCCAAATTAATTTGCCTTATTTATGACAGGATGTCACTGTTTTGTTCATTAGGACACAGCAGGCCAGGAAAGATACAGGACCATCACCACAGCCTATTATCGAGGAGCCATGGGCTTCATTTTAATGTATGACATCACCAATGAAGAATCCTTCAATGCCGTACAAGATTGGTAAGTTACTGCCATTATAAATGGCGATCGTCTTCTATTTGAAAATCTATTCCTTTCACAGCAGTGGCTATGGGACAATGGCCTATGTATGTTTATCATGAACTACAATTCTACTTGTGCCGTGAGGCAAAGAAAAAGTTGGTCACGTTCACAACCACTGTCAGGTGATTTGAGAAGTTGTTTTGGTGACTTTTCTTCATTTTGTTCACTTCAGGGTTTTGTATCAATAAGTCTTCCTTTTCTAGAATTGAGCGTCTTGCTAAAATGTAAATAATAATTTGGAAGTTTATTGACCTAATAAAGGGATCGAGAAACTAAGGTTGGTGGGCCTTGGCCCAAAGCTTGTTCTTTAAATAAAACTTTATTGGAGCACAGGGAAGATCATTTGTTTATTCTGTGATGCCTTCACACCACAAAAACCAAGGTAAGTAGCTGCAGTAGGATCCATGTGGCCTATAGAGCCCAAAAGATTTCTCTCTGGACATTTGGAAGAAATCTTTGCTTATCCTTTTTCTAGTAGCTTTGCTAAATAGATTATTTAAACCAGAGCATTTGAAAGGATTTAGGACACAAGGTCAGACCCAGACCCTTTGTGACTCGTAGTTTCATGAGTCCCTGTGAAAATACTTGTATCCATAATGAGTGTGATGTGCAGTAGGGGACTTTCTGTCATGAGTCCTTTTCCTGGCTTCCCAGAATAGTTAGAATCCAGAGCATGTCATGAATTCCAGCACAGGGCTGAAAAGAATGGGAATTTTGTGGAATGGTTTATAATGGAGTTCCTAATATCCAGGGATGGCTGAGCAGATATCACATATAAATGCTAAATAGTCACGGTTCATTTTCTGTAAGACGCATCAGATAAAGGTTGGGCAATGGTGGCACACATTTTTAATCCCAGCACTTGGAAGACAGAGGCAAGCGGATCTCTGTGAGTTTGAGGCCAGCCTGGTCTACAGAGCTAGTTCCAGGACAGGCTCCAAGATTACAAAAAAACCCTAACTCAAAAAGCAAAAAAGAAGCATCAGACAAACACTATATTGGAAAACAGACATTTCATTTTTTTATTTTCTATGCTAGTATTATCCACTGATTTTATATGTGTATTGGGACCTGATGTTAGAAATTTGGATTTGTTCTTGGTTGGTTTTTGAAAATACTTATTGTTCTTCTGATAAGACATCTATATCTATCGCATTCACCTGCACATACATGCAAAAACACATATACATGCAGGCACACACATGCACATGTACACATATATACAAACATACATGCACATCTACACATATACATATATACATACACAGAGATGCATGTACACACACATACATATGCCCATATACACATATATATGTACACACACACACACAGTTCCTATCTATGAAGTTATACCATTGATAACAGTAACTCAAAAGAGAAAGAGTTAAACTGGGTGGTGGTGGCTCACACCTTTAATCCAGGTACTCAGGAGGCAGAGAAGGGCGGATGTCTGTGAGTTCAACGCCAGCCTGGTCTACAAGAGCTAGTTTCCAGGACAGGCTCCAAAACTACAGAGAAACTGTTCCCCCCCCCCAAAAAAAAAACCGAGAGAGAGAGAGAAAGAGGGAGAGAGAGACAGAGAGAGAGAGAGAGAGAGAGAGAGAGAGATTATCAAAAGTCAAGTTTAGAACCTAAATGAAAAACTATTATCCTCCACTGAGAGACATAGAAGGCTTATAGAACCTCTCTGTAGTGCATTAGCTATCTTGAAAATGAAAGTTCTCAAGTTAACCCATAACTTCAAGGTAGTTCCTATTAAATACCAGAAAGTCTGTCGCAAAATGGAATGGGCTCTAAAAACAGAGACATACACATCTGTATGCAGAGTTAGAGTTTCGATAAAAATTTTAAAAAAAAATAGCATCGAGGACCACTCAGTTAACAGTTGTGTGATATCTGGCTAATTTGTATTCACAGCTTCAGTTCATATATCATCCTGCAAAGCATGGATGCTCTGCTAGAGATACTGAGACCTATGTATGAATACAGAAAGTGTTCACACTCAAGTTTTTATGCATCACCATTATGATGCTGCTTGTTCAAACTTCCTCTTGTCCAACTGTTTCAATATGAATTATTTCACCACCGAGAGACCATACAGTGATGCACTGGGATCATTAAATAGAAATGCCAGTAACACCAGAAGCCACACAGCCAGCATTGATGACTCTACAGTCAACAGGATACAGGAATGATCAGCGTCTGCCTCTCTAAGCACCCCTCTGTGATCAGTCAGTCAAGCATCATCATACTAATGTTTAGACTTTCTCATGTGTCAGGAGATTCATATTACCTCCAGCTGCCCCCACCTCAAATTCTCTGGACAACTCTAGTGCACCCCAACATCCTTCTGAGGTTCCACTTCCTGTTTCTGAAAGACATATTTTCCAAATTACTCTTCTCTCTCTCTGATCCCTCTTCCTATTCCTACCAGGTACAGTGACATTATCCTGTGTCCTGTTTTTGGTCATTTTAATCACTTCGCTAGATCCATTTATCACTTAAATAAGATGGTTCCCAAACTTAAATGTCTGGCCTTGGTATGTAAATCACTATTGCATTTCCAAGTACTCAAAGTATTTGTTCTGCCTAGATCCTTTTCTAGTTTCTTGAAGTCATTTATCTTCACCGGTAACTGTTCACCTTCCTGACAAAATTCCTGCTTGCTGCAATAGAATGCATCATTCATGGTTGACTGTGAATTTAGCTCTGATTTTCATTATCTAGATCTGGGTCAGCTCATGTATATTCATGTATTTAACATGGGAATCATTTGACATGTCTACTGCCTTTCCCCTCCTTCTTTGGTTCTCCTCATTTCATTTCTTATTATTATATTTTATCCCTATCCTTAATGGAACCTTCAGATGTTCTTAATTTACATTTCTTCCTTTCTCAATCCTTATTTCTACCCCTTGGCTGCTTGTAGGTTCTTCCAAAGAACATGATTTTTAAGTCTATGGAAGATCCCTGTCCAAAAGCCATGGGTCACCATTGTCCCCCGAGCTGGCACTTCCCAGTTTGGCTTTCAGACACAGCACCTCCAATGTTGCTGTAACTCTGTAACATAGTTTCTCTCTGTTCTAGAGAAAAGCTGAAACCACTCTTTCTGGATCCTTGCCCAAACATCCCAAATTTTCTGCATTTTTCTTTTGTGTTTCTTTTGAATTTACATATATTTTCCATAGCTCCCTTTTCCAGCTGTCTCCAGGCAGCTGGATTTCTCCAAAACTGAAGAATTAAGCAAGTCCATTGGAAAACCACTACTATTTTCTATTTTGCTCATTTTTTCTTACACCCAGTTACATAACTAGTCATCTATTGGGAACTTAATTTTTTTTTTTGGTGTTCATTTAACCAGTAGTTACTGAATGTCTGTCCTGATAGCTGTAGGTCAGACATCTCTATGCTAACGTTTACTATCTCACTGGATCTGCCATAGCCCAGTTATACGATTCAGGTTTAGCACCCTGTTCTTTTGATTATCATAGCACAAGACCCAATAATTCTGACTTTCTGACACCTCTCAAATACATTTCTCTCCATTCTCTCTATTCTCATCAACTTAATTCAAACTGTCATTTAGGGACTTTCTATCTCGTCTCTATCTATCTTATTTTAAAATGATTTCAGTAATTTCTCATGCCCTGTGGTAATGGTTATGGAAGCACAAGTAAATCACTATGAAGCCTTTATGGATATTATATCCATGCTCCATGCTGGACCCGCTAAACAAAATCTCCCATGAGAAATGTGAGCATAACTGTCTTCCAATTTCCACGAGGGATTCTGAAGTCCGTTTCTCATTAAGACCATTGGTTTGCAAGGAAACCCAAAGCCGCCCACCGGCTTCATCTCCTCACACTCTACTCCATGTAGTCTGTGCTTCCTCCAGACAGACCTTTCATCAGTTTCCTAAAGTCTGATGCATCTGCTACATCTGCTCTTCCGCCTAGAATATCTTCTCTTGTGACAGTCTGAAATTTTAAATACTTTCTAAGCCACACCCAAATGCCAACTCTTCCCACAGTTTGACAATGCACTTCTACCCTCTTCCTACCCCATCTCTGCTCACAGTGGGCAGTGTTACCCTCACCCTTGTCTCTACAGCTATGTGATACTTGCGCTTTCCACCGAACACACAGATAACTGTTGGGGGAGGCTACTTGATCATTTCCCAACTGTCCAGACTTTCAAATTAATCACACAGACATCTGTATTAATTGCAATACTGTTTGACCAATAGCTTAAGTGTATTTCTGGCTAACTCATATCTAAAATTAACCCATTTCTATTAATCTGTGTATCACCACGTGACTGTGGCTTACCGGCAAGTTTCCAGTGGGCTCCCGTGGAGGCATCTGTCTCCTGTGAGCAGCTACATGGCTTCTTGCTGACTCCACCTTCTTTCTCCCAGCATTCAGTTTAGTTTTCCCACCTAGCTCTATTCTACCCTTTCACAAGCCAAAGTAGCTTCTTTATTCATTAACCAATAAAAGGAACACATATACAGAAGGACTTCCCACACCAGATAACCTACAGACTGCTGTCATCTGAGTACACTTTGTCTCAAAAACCAGGTTGTGAGTATGTTCATTTTCCCCAGTACTAAATACAGTATAATGCAATTTTTTTTATATTTTTCTAGCATGTAAATTTTGGCAAAATGTATACACCAGTCAGGCAGTGGTGATGCGCACCTTTAATCCCAGCACTCAGAAGATAGAGGTAGGGAGGTCTCTGTGAGTTCAAGGACAGCCTAGCCTACAGAGTGAATTCCAGAACAACCAGAGCTACACAGGGAGACCCTGTCTTGAAAAACCAAAAAAATAAAATAATACATATACCAAAATTTACCATCTTAATTATTCTGCAGTGAACATTACAGTTCAGTTGCATTAAATGCATTAAATTTGCTGTGCAGCCATTCCTGCCCTCCATCTCCAAAACTCATTTCA